CCTCTACGAAAAACAGGCAACGAGACAGAAACATTAAAAAGACGGGGGCAAAAGAAAGATCTCCCCTGTCCTGCTCTCGTCCTCCGGAAAGACGCCGGTCACAGATGCTGGCGAAACGTTAGGAACACGGCCCCACAGCCCGGAAGACCCACATCAGCCATCGTATTCCGGCTATGAAAGCCTCTGACAATACACAAAACTATTGTCGCTCATCAGCTGGGTTTCAGCGTGGAAACTTTAGAGAGACTGGGGCTGGGGGAAATGTAACCCTCCTGATCCTCCTTGAGCACTTTTGGTACCATCAGCCAAAACACTTCTGGAAGACTGGCAGCGAGAGCCTGCAGCTTCCTTCAGGGCCCCTAACAGCACCAGAGAAGGCAAGCTGGATTCTAATAGGCTTACAGGGCTAAATGGAGCCCAGGGAGGGGCTGGCTGGCTGGCTCTCCACCTACCCCAGCAAGCAGCTTAAAGCTGCACAAGGTTAGGGCCAGTTCAGTGCCACGTGGGCAGTGGCTGTAGAATGCTGGTGCCACCTCCTGGAATCCTGCTCTGCCTATCCCCAGCCTCGTATTACCTACACTTTGAAAAGTAACGGGACCTACAGGGGGAAGAATGTGCAACAAGGAAACTGAGATTCTGTAGGTCTGAGAACAAAAGTCGAGAGACTGAATGCAAGCTGAGCTAAGACGCCTATAAGCATAACTGGGGTCGTTTTACGGGAATGTGCTGGGATATGAATTGCAAATAAATAAAAATGAGCACGTTGGACCAGAAGGCTGTGGTCTGATGCAACAAAGCATTTGCATGCAATAAGGAGCATCTTGACTCTCTGAGGGCACTCAAGTAAGCACTCTTGAGCTTATCAGCATAAAAGAAATCAGTGGGTCTTCAAAAAGTCAGCCCACCCACCGCTTAAAGAGCAGTAAGAAGGTAATTTTTTCTACACTAGTGCAGTCTTGTGAAATGAGCAAAAACCCCACCCCACACTAACCAAGCTGGGGCAAATATTTTCCAGGTTACCTATTCCTGAATCAAAGGTTAAAAATCAGGAGTCTGGTGGCACCTTTTTAGACTAATCAATGTTATGAAAAGGCATAAGGTGATTTTGGCTACCCTAAACTAATACGGCTCCTCCATTACGATGAATCAAAGGTTGTGTTCTTGTGCAGAACAGTGCGCGTTTTGTGCAACAACATACACACACACACATCTCATGAGAGAAACAGCCAGGTTTTGCAACTTCCATTATGAAGCTCACCTTTGGGATGAGGACACAGAAAGGAGATAAACCGCCTTATAGATCTTTGGGGGTTCTGCTCAGGGACTGGGTAGCCTGAAATCACTGCTGTTATGTTTACAAATGTCTCTCTGCAGCATTACGGGCTGTTATTACAAGTGGTCACATTTTAATGCCAATTTCCACATAAGACCTCAAATTCTTCATTTCTAAGCAAATGACTAATCTTGGTTTTGCGTGTGCAATATTAAGAGGAAGGAAAAGAACTAAGCAGGCGGGTGTCAGAATATTATTTTCCCCCTGGGGAAGTCAAGCTTTTTCGATTCTTTCGAAAAAGTTTGTATTCCCCCAACAACTCTTTGGGGGCTCCCTAATTCCTGGCTATTTTCTCATGGTGGTTAAGGCACTGTCTGCAACATCTTCTCTTTTTCTGGCATGCTCAACATTGGAGCTGCGGGGAGCAAGAAAGGATTAAGCGTTGCTCCCAGGCAGTTTGCTCAATTTGGCTAGACTACTTTCCTCATTTTCCACAGAAGGAGAAGAAATTCTTCCCCTACTGCAAGTGGAAGGGGGGGAGCCAGTGACCAGAAGGTCATTCGAGGCCACTCTACCAGCTGAGTCAAGGAGCTTTGCGTAATGTCAAAATCACATGACCTCCCCTAAGCCGTCCCGGTCCATCCTTCAAGAAAGCTTTGGCTGGCAATGCAAAGCAATTCTTGTAGCATTTAGGAAGGGCTCTGGGGAGATGTGGGAGAGGAGAGGCTGCTGGGTGAGCAGAACCTCTCACCTAAAAAAGACCTCAGGGGGTTGTGTTTAGGGCAAACAAGGTGCCCCAAGCCACTCTAGTCATTCTCAAGGCCAGCGAGGACAGCATCTGACTCTGGGGATCGTGGCCTCGCCACCTCATGCCCTTGCTTACCCACCATCCTTTGCAACCCTCCAGCAGTCCCCTCGCCCAACTCACTCTCCGCCGGGCCTGCTCTTTCTCCAAAGTGTCTTTTAGCAAGTGGGGATCCAGGTGGGAGAGCTGCTCATGGAAGTGACCCAGGTGTAGGCTGGTGTAGCGGGGGAACAGCTCCTCAAAGCCCGTCAGAGATCCCGGAGGAGAGACTTCGTGCAGAGGACGAGCGCTAAACAAACCCAAGAGAAGCGTCTTAGCAAGGAATGATGATGGTGGCTGGGAAGCACAGGATAAAGATGGACCTTCCAAGCTTCCAGCATCTTGATCTTGAATACCAACCCTGAATTCTTGGCCTGGATGAAACCCCTCCCAGCCACCATGAGGGTTGCCATCCTCAGATGCCTTCGCGTCTGCTCACCAAATACAACTGCCAGCCCGGCAATTACACATCTGGCAGAGGCTGCCCGGTGATACAGTTCCTCTGCTGGGGCTAGACTCACACATAGTACTAAGCCAAAATGTGGCTGGTTCGGATGTGGCTGAAAAACGAACCCAACCAGTGTGGTTTGGGATCCACGACTGACGTTAAGCATCCTGTGTAAAGCCACACCAGGTGGCAAGACTTAGCTGAGGCTGATCTCCAAATGGGTGTGGGCAGGGAGGGGGTCCAAAAAAGTCAAGATGGCGCCACAACCGTGGGATCGAAGCCCTGCCCCTTTATACGTGCATTGGGGAGCTCTGATCCCACAGTTGTGAGGCCATCTTGACTTTTTGACCCCCACCTCAGAAGCTAATCAGGGTCAGTGGGAAACCAAAAAATACCCCTCAGAAAAGGAAGGGCAAGCTGCTTCCATAAAACTGCACAGATGCAATCTCCCAAAGCTGCCATCTTTGCCTTGCTTACAGTGTGCTAGGTTAAACCACAAGGCAGTGTTGTCCAAACTTGGCCACTTTAAGATGCGTGGACTTCAACTCCCAGAATTCCCC